TATTAGTAGTAGTGTAGTAGTAGTAGTAGTAGTATTAGTGGTTGTAAAATTTTAGTGGTAGTAGTATTAGTAGTAGTGTAGTAGTAGTAGTAGTAGTAGTAGTAGTAGTAGTAGTAGTAGTAGTAGTAGTAGTAGTAGTAGTAGTAGTAGTAGTAGTAGTAAAATTTTAGTGGTAGTAGTATTAGTAGTAGTGTAGTAGTAGTAGTAGTAGTAGTAGTAGTAGTAGTAGTAGTAGTAGTAGTAGTAGTAATAGTAGTAGTAGTAGTGGTTGTAAAATTTTAGTGGTAGTAGTATTAGTAGTAATGTAGTAGTAGTAGTAGTAGTAGTAGTAGTAGTAGTAGTAGTAGTAGTAGTAGTAGTAGTAGTAGTAGTAGTAGTAGTAGTAGTAGTAGTAGTAGTAGTAGTAGTAGTAGTAGTAGTAGTAGTAGTAGTAGTAGTTGTTGTTGTAAAATAGTAGTGGTAGTAGTATTAGTAGTAGTGTAGTAGTAGTAGTAGTAGCAGTATTACGTACTTTTCTTTTTAGTTTACCACATCTCGGGGTCTTCGAGATTTCGTCGGGACTTCCCGCACTGGGCCTGTTCTTGTTTTCCATATAAAAGGGCCCCGGAACCCACTCAGGGAAACATTTGCTATAATATGAACTGCTAAAAACAAACGGGGAAAATACACTCTTTCTATTTATGGTTCGAGTGTTGAAAAGAAAGGGGGGTGGGGGGGGGGTGCTCTAGCCACCTTCTAAATTTGCTAGAGGGCTGAACCTACAGGTTGCAGCTTCCTTGAAACCATGCATGGTGTTTCCTTCCATTCAGTCATTTACTTAGAGTAGATAGATTGTTTATTGCAATGAGAGAGAGAGAGAGAGAGAGAGAGAGAGGGAGAGAGAGAGAGAGAGAGAGAGAGAGAGAGAGAGAGAGAGAGAGAGAGAGAGAGAGAGAGTTTTAAAGTGCTACAGAGAACCTGTGTTGTTACATAATGGTTAGTTGCGTATCATTTACAGGACGTTACAGAACCAACCCTAGCATTTTTTGGCTTTTGGGGTTATTCTAGGCAAATTTGACCTTCAGTAGTTTGCCATTGCTACTTAACGGTCAGCTCTCGGTAACACTGTCGAAACTAACGCAAGACAAACCGTCCGCAGCTGGAATCGAACCCGGCACCCCGGCATTACGAAGTTTGCTCGCAACGCCTAAGCAGCAAACGGCGACTGTTGTTATATACCTGTGAGACAAGAGCAATGAAGAGACAGGAATAACAATATTGACTAGTGGCATGGATATAGATTTTGCCAAGAATGTAAAGAATAACATTAGGTGCTAGAAAACACGTCCAGGGGAGGTTGGTGAACTGTTGCTGGTCTCTCATAATAAAGACCCGGTTCGAATCATCCGTAAGGTTGGAGATATATTTTGCGTTGGTTTCCAAACATTTTTTTTTGCCTCCACTGTTTGTTGCGAACGTGCGGCCCCAAATGTTCAGGTCCCGAGTCTTCGCAACGCCGCAAAAGTGTAAATGTAAATACACTCAATGATGCCTGTTTTTGGCTGTTTGTGATAGAAAAATAGAAGAAGCAGTCTTTATCGAGACGAGAAAACGAAAGTCGCAAACTTTCGTAATCAGTCGCTGTTTAATTGTATGTGTGTATGTGTTCGGGGGAAGGCGGGTGGGGTCGGGGGGGGGGGGGGGATATTATGAGAATGAATTGAGTCCAGAACTTGGTGATAACTGGAAAGATGTATGGCAAGAAAGCAGGAGGAAGGCAAAGAGATAAATACCTAGACTTGGTCAAATGGATAGGGCGAGACAAGAACACTGACCTGATCTGTGATTCTGTGCCGTTAGAAGGCAAAACTGACATCTCACGTTTATCGGCATGTCACATGATGATGATGATGATGATGATTGATCCTCATTAATATCATCATCATCATGAGTTTGTTCATTCACAGTCGCTTTGTGAATATGTTTTTAAATTCATACGCAGTTTAGAGTTACAAGTTATTTCCTCATTAATAATATTTATGTGTATTAAATTTAAATTAGCCATGCAGTCAGTTATTCCCTCATTCCTTATATTTAAATGTATTACATTGAGCCACTAGTTTTAGGAAGATTTTGTTTATATTGTACTTGTTTACAGTATGACAGTACACTGACATTGGCTCCAAGGTCTACTCAGCCTAAAATGGTTATAATGTAATAGCCTTGGAAGTAAAGGCGACCGGAGTAAAAGGCCTTTCATCACCTATCGATAGTTGATTTGTCTATACAAAATATAGGTATAAATGCCCTATGTACCTATGGTGAGGTTGGGGGGGGGGGGGGGATGAAACATGACCTTTACTTATGACTGTTTTATTATACAGTGGTAGCTTGGTGTGCCTTCGTTTTGGTATACGTCCTGTTTAGACGTGAAAAAGTTTGTTTGGTATACGAATTTTGTTTGAAATACAATCTTCTATGAGTGCAAATTAGTCACTACACCGAGCACTATCTTTATTTACGTTTCTCGAGACAAGGCAACGGAGCCGCGTTAGCACAGTCGAAAGGAGACTCGCTTTCAAATCCAGCTGCGACTTGCTGCAGCCCACGGCCGGTGTTCAAAACCGGGCGGTTCAAGGAGTTCACCCAGCCTCTGGGTAATAGCTACTAGAGTTTAACACTTTGGGGTAAATTTAGGAACGTCGCTGTAGCTAGAGATTTACGTGCGGACGGCGACACAGACAGACAGTTTCTTATCAGCTGTCCGTACTGGTGGCAGAGCACTTACGGTTTATAACAGTGTGCAATGACGCTTGTTCACATCTTCCGACTTTACTTTTACCTCTCAGGAGACGGATAAATGTCTATAATTTTGAAGAGAAGTATCAGCCGTAGTAGCATTGTCTGGAATGACCAAACAATGTCGCTTTTACCCGAGTGGATTCCGGAACCCTGTTGTAGGGAAAACAAGAATAGACTTAATCAGTCAGTAGCATGTCCTTTGCAGAGCCTTGCTCCTATAACATCCCTCTGGAAAACTTCTCGATCACAAGCAAGATCTCCTGTTTCCGATACACCCATCTGGAGATCATCCGCCACATCCTACACCCATCTTCTCTTTGGCCTTTCTCTTCCTCTCTTTCCAGGCATATTCTTTTTCTTTTTATTCTGTCTTTCTATCCCCCAATGGAGCATAGGCCCTCAACCAACTCACGCCAAGTCGTTCTATCCTTCGCCATTGCATGGAGCTCTCTCCATGTCCTCCCAATCTTTCTAACTTCATTCTCCAGCTCTCTTCTCCATGTGTTTTTGGGCCTTCTTTTATTCCTATGCCCCTGTGGGTTCCAATGGAAAGACATTCTAGTTATGCTGTTCTCCTGTTTTCTCAGTGTGTGTCCCATCCAACGCCAGAGTCTTTTCCTCACCTCTTGGTCCACTGAAGCCTGTTTAGTCCTCTTCCAAAGCTATCATACCATTTAATTCACTCTATTCTGCGCAGGCACCAGTTAATGAATGTCTCTAATGTATTAGTAATGTCTTAGTTATTCTCTATGTTTCCACTCCATATAAAAGTACTGATTTGACATTAGAATTAAAATTTTTTAGTTTAGTATTTCTTTTAATTTCCTGTGACCTCCACAAATTCCCTAGTGCTATGAAAGATCCTCTTGCTTTTTGTATTCTTTTTTTAATATATCTATCAGTTTCTCTATCTTTATTTTCATCACTGCCCAAATACGTGTGCGACTCCACGTCTTGGAGCGGGGTGCCATTAAGAGAAAACACATTACTATTTGCCTGATTTAATCTCATTATGTTTGTCTTTCCCTTATGGATTTTCAGACCAAGCTGCTTTGATATCGCATCCAGTATATTTAATTTATCTTGCATCTGATTCCATGAATGGGACAGAAGAGAAATATCATCAGCGAAGTCCAGATCCTCAAGCTGTTTTGTAGGGGTCCACTGAATTCCATTCTTGATGTTAGCAGTCACTGTTGTCATAATCCAGTGTATAGCCAGTAAAAATAAGAGAGGCACACCTGTTTTTATATCAAATATATCTGTTAGCTTTTCCTCATGAAGAACTCGTCATTTCATGTCTTTATATGTTGCCTCTACTAAGTTAAAAATTTTCTGTGGGATTCCATAGTGCCCCATCAATTTCCAGAGAGATTCCCTATTAATGAGACTGCTTCTAATTAATGTAAAGTGGTGAGTTCAGTTCAATGCTTTGCTCTATTACAATACGTAATATGGCTATCTGGTCATTCCAGGCATATACCCCTCTATTATTGTTCTCTCCAAACTTTCCTGACGTTTCAAGTAACCAAAATATTTTCAAATTTCTGTGTTTTATCGTCTTTAATATCCAACCTTCTTCAATATTCAGTTCTTGAAGTGTGGATGCATTTGTTCTTTTTTTTTACCCATGATATTTTTAAAACCCGTCTAAAGCGTTTATATTCAAAGGCATTTATGCGCTGTTCTGTCTGTTTCGTAAGTGTCGAAGTCTCACAAGCGTTTGTTGCAATGGAACAGATGCATGCTCTCAGAAACCTAATTTCTGTAGTTCTGTCTATCCCACTCCATAGACAGAATTTATAAAAATTAGATTAATAGACCCACTACCTCCCCATAAGCATGTCGTAAGAGTCGATTAATTTGGAGCTTCCTTTGAAGACGGAGTGCTTCTGCATGAGAGCCAAGAAAGCAACTGTCTGCATTCAAATGAGACCGATTGTAACATGGATGCAAACGCAACACTCAGGTTCTGACACAGGACTACAGTCCAGAAGTGGACGAACATCCAGAACCTTTCGCAGCAGTTTACAGCTGGTGAACGCGAAGAAGAGGAAAAAGAATGTCACATTTTGCAGACACCCTGAGAAGAAGGTAGAAGCAAAGTTTTTTTGGACAAATAATTACTATAAATCAAATCTGACGAGCTGCAACCACATCTAAGCAACCAAAATAAACAGGGAAAATGAAGAAAGAAAGAAAGAAAAAAAGAAAGACAGACAGACAGGAAAGTAAGACAGAAAGAAAGAAAGGAAGGAAGAAAGAAAGAAAGAAAGAAAGAAAAAAGAAAGAAAGAAAGAAAGAAAGAAAGAAAGAAAGAAAGAAAGAAAGAAAGAAAGAAAGAAAGAAAGAAAGAAAGAAAGAAAGAAAGAAAGAAAGAAAGAAAGAAAGAAAGAAAGAAAGAAAGAAAGAAAGAAAGAAAGAGAAGAGAAGAGAAGAGAAGAGAAGAGAAGAGAAGAGAAGAGAAGAGAAGAGAAGAGAAGAGAAGAGAAGAGAAGAGAAGAGAAGAGAAGAGAAGAGAAGAGAAGAGAAGAGAAGAGAAGAGAAGAGAAGAGAAGAGAAGAGAAGAGAAGAGAAGAGAAGAGAAAAACCAGCAGAATTTCATATTCCTGACGTTTTATCGGAAGGGGACTTTCCTGGCAAACAATAACATCTCCTCCTGCTGCTCACTTCTGAGCACCACTTTAGTGGACAAACGACTCTTCTCAGCGAGGTCAAATGCTTTAGATGTTCATTTATTTCATATAATTATTTTTGTATTTATGTATTTTAGTGATATTTAGTATAAACATTATTTTATACAACCGCCAACAGTATATAATATGTCAAAAGCAATATTATTTTTTCAATGGGAACGAATTAACCATTCTTCTAAGATTATGTATGAAAAATTTCGTCGGATTTACGTTCTGTTTGGTATACGTTTTTTTTTTTTTTTGGTATACGTACTGTTTAGTTCATGTTCTGCCTGGTGCACGTACTGTGTGGTATACGTCCAAGAATCGGGAACGGATTAGACTAAGTACGAATACTGAGGTACAACTGTAATTCGGTGTACTAATTTATTAGTTCATACAGTTTTCCGATCTTCCTTTTTTTCTCACTGTCGGTCATTTTGACACGAAAAGGCCGTGTGCCTTTATAAAGTTCTTTAAAATAATAATAATAATAGAAACGATCATCATCATCATGTAGCAGGTTCTTTGCAGAACGTCGCTCTCATTACAGTCTGCCTGAAAGAAACTCGGTCTCTCGCCAGTTCTCCCGCCTCAAGCACTTTCATACTCAAGGAGTCACATCAAGGAGATTAAAATTAAAATTTTGAGAGCATGCATCTTCCCTGTGGCAACATACGGATGTGAGTCGTGGACTATCTCTTAGTCCTTAAGAAAGAGAATAGGGGCTTTTAAAAACAGATTTTGATCTTCACTGTGCTTTTGAACAGACAATATTTAATTATTAGAAACAGTAATACAATTAAAAATAATAATACTGATAAATATGAAATATTTAAAAACAAAAGTTCACTTAGAACTTAGAATGAGAATATTTATTTCATTGAATTTTTTTTTTTTTTTTTTAGTAAAAATGGTTTAATTTGTTCAAAGACAATAATCCATTCTCTGAATTATTCTTTTTTTTTTTTTTCGTTTGTCCCTTCGTTTGTTCATCAACTCAATTATTAATTAATTCATTCGTTGCTTTTTACTATTTCGTTTATCTATTCATTCATTTTTTCCTTCGTTTATGTTAGCCCAGCTGGCTAGCTTAACTGGCTAAACTTGACTATGCGGCGACCGTTTGACGAACTCCTTGTGGTCCGGGTTCACGTCACATTCCCCCCAGATTTACGGTACCTATCATGGAATCAAGGCCGAAGGGTTGCGATATTCATAGTACCGAGCCGAAGGCTAAACTACTCATGATTTCTAGATACTTTGAAAAACAAAATTTAATTTGTTCCTTCGTTTATGTTAAATCCTGAGACGAAGCTGGGTTGGAGGTGGGGTGGTGGGTCGGATTTTTACGGTCAACTTGAGAAGGTGCGAGGAGTGAGTGAGGATGGAGTAAACCCTAAGAAAAGGGGAAATAAAGAGAATATAGGGTAAAGCCTGAGAAAACAAAGGTAGTGGGGATAGGATAGGGTAAACCCTGAGAAAACAAAGGAAGGGGGGATAGGATAGGGTAAACCTTGAGAAAACAAAGAGAGGGGGGAACAGGATAGGGTGAACCCTGAGAAAACAAATGGAGGTAGATAGGATAAGGTAAACCCTGAGAAAACAAAGGGAGGGGGGATTGGATAGGGTAAACCCTGAGAAAACAAAGGGATAGGATAGGGTAAACCCTGAAAAAACAAAAGGAGGGGGGATAGGATAGAGTAAACCTTGAGAAAACAAAGAGAGGGGGGAATATGATAGTAAACCCTGAGAAAACAAATGGTAGTGGATAGGATAAGGTAAACCATGAGAAAACAGAGGGAGGGGGGATTGGATAGGGTAAACCCTGAGAAAACAAAGGGAGGGGGATAGGATAGGGTAAACCCTGAAAAAACAAAAGGAGGGGGGGGGGGTAGGATAGAGTAAACCCTGAGAAAACAAAGAGAGGGGGATAGGGTAAGCCCTGAGAAAACAAAGGGAGGGGGATAGGATAGAGTAAACCCTGAGAAAACAAAGGGAGGGGGATAGGATAGGGTAAACCCTGAGAAAACAAAAGGAGGGGGGGGGATAGGATAAACCCTGAGAAAACAAAGGGAGGGGGATAGGATAGAGTAAACCCTGAGAAAACAAAGGGAAGGGGGATAGGATAAGGTAAACCCCGAGAAAACAAAGGGAAGAGGGATAGGATAGAGTAAACCCTGAGAAAACAAAGGGAAGGGGGATAGGATAGGGTAAACCCCGAGAAAACAAAGGGAAGGGGGATAGGATAGAGTAAACCCTGAGAAAACAAAGGGAAGAGGGATAGGATAGGATAAACCCTGAGAAAACAAAGGGAAGGGGGAAAGGATAGGGTAAACCCCGAGAAAACAAAGGGAAGGGGGATAGGATAGAGTAAACCCTGAGAAAACAAAGGGAAGGGGGATAGGATAGGGTAAACCCCGAGAAAACAAAGGGAAGAGGGATAGGATAGGGTAAACCCCGAGAAAACAAAGGGAAGAGGGATAGGATAGGGTAAACCCCGAGAAAACAAAGGGAAGAGGGATAGGATAGGGTAAACCCCGAGAAAACAAAGGGAAGAGGGATAGGATAGGGTAAACCCTGAGAAGGAGTGAAATGCGTTTGCCAAATTTTAAACAGTCGACTCTCAATACCCTTGTCGAAACCAACACAAGGCGGTCTGTTGCCTTTTCCGCAGCTGCAACCGAACCGATCATCTTGGAATTAATATAGTGTTACACTATTGTGTCGAAAATCATATAATTTTTTTTTAAAACTATCATCATCCTCATTATCCTGATCATCACCATCATTATTACCATTATTTTATTGCAAATTTTTAAAATTTATGTCAAATAACAGGGGAGTAAAAAAGCTTCCATGTTTCCCTCTAGTTTCAACTGAAACCCAATGACTTAAACCATCGTCTGATTGCACTGCACACTATGAACCTTCAAACATTGCCCTAATACTTGTTTATTGTTTTCGCTGCTTTACCATAGCATTCCAAAGTTCCACACGGTGATGTTTGATGTTCTGTGTAAGCTATCACAGACCTGCTCTTAAAAAGGATGAAATTCAAAATAAAGGGTTTGTTGTTTTTCAACAAATTGTTCTAAACTAAGTCTCACGGTAATTGTTTGTAACAAGCAACTTCTTTCAGATCGCAAATCTGCTTGTTCTTCTCAGGATTTTGTCGATTATCTATTTAATTCTATTGGCAGTTACTTTACCACACACAAAAAAGTGTTTGTATTTTTTTTATATATATATATATAAAAAAGTAATTCCTCTCCAGTTGTTAAAGTCAGTAATATTACCTTTCTTTGAATTAAAAAACAAGAAACAAAAACTATTCCTTTCTTCTGCTGATCAAATATGTTTTTCTCTTTGCATATTATGTTGAACAAATCTTTCACTCGGTGTATGTTCACATCATCGGCTGCCTTGAGTATTTCTGCAGTAATCATATTGATGAAGTGATGGCCTCACAGATTTCCAGGTCATTTATCTGTCCTACATCTATTGGTAGCATGGTAGTTTTAACTTCCACGTCACAGTTCATTGGTTCTTGTGGACTGTGCCTCTTTAAGGGCTTTTTGAAGTGTTGTGCCCATTTTTTCTTCCGCTCGGTGTTGGATGTAAGCATTGTACCATCTTTTTTTTTTTTTTTATTAATGAGATCAAACGGCAGTTTAAGTCTAACACATGAACTTGCTATGTTGTCAAATAAGGCAGAAATTCACTCGCAGTGGATTCCGTCTCACTGTGGCATCAAAGGCAATGAAAGCGCAGATGCTTTAGCTAAGGAAGGCAGTAACAAACCACAGACCTACCAGCCACTATCTTTTCCAGAAGTCAAAACTCTCATTAAGAGAAAATCAGAAACAGATTGGAAAACGAACACTGGTTATAACTACGAAAAAGATTTTCTGAAACACTTGAACAGAACAGACCAAGTCACAGTTTTTCGCTTACGCACTGGACACTGCAGACTCAATAAACACTCACATAAATTAGGTATGAGCCAAACAGCTCTCTGCCAGTGCCTTCGTGCTGAACAGACTCCAGAACATGTCCTGCAAGACTGTCCTCTCCTGGCGGAGCTGAGGAGCGACATATGGCAACACCCAGTAGAACTGACAACTAAGCTTTGGGGAAACCTAAGAGACCTTGAAAAGACATCCCAGTTTATGACCCACAGTGGATTATGCGCATGACCAGAGATCGCTGAAGAAGAAGAAGAAGATGAAACCGCAGTTTGAAAGTTATAGGTAACCGTTTCAGTGTATTCAATACGAGTAAAAAAAAGGTTAAGTGAATGTCCCTTTTCCCACGCCTTTAGGCGTATGGGGCTAGACCTATATTTTTATAGACAAAAGAGCACAAGATGGGTGATGTGATCAGCATCACGCCGGCCGCCTTTACCTCCCGAGACTACACCCGGTACCCACTCAAGGCTGGGTCGACATGGGAGTCAAGGTAATTAAATACCAGTAGTCTATAGTTTTCTCCACTCTTAGCTTGCCCGGTATCCATCTTTAGTTAGTTTATCAATATATGCTCTCTTATCTCGCCTTGCACAACTCTTGATTTGTTTATCTCTCTTTTTTGTAATCTTCTTTAGCCCCGATTTCTTGTTCTCTTGTTTCAGCATCGCATATTGCAGGTTTCCATGTGTGTTTTTTTTCCTTTCCTTGAAATCACTGCCATGGACATCACCTAACTAATGTTTTCTACCATGATTCTTTAGCCTGCACTCATCGTTTGTTGCTTCTAAGTATCTAGAAACCATGAGTTGTTAACCGTTTGGCTCGGTACTATAGATATTGCAACCTTTCGGCCTTGATTCCATGATCATCATCAGGTACATTCCCGACTGGCGTGGGCGATCATGCCTCTCAATAATCTGCGATCTCCTGCAGCATGTATCAGTTCGTGTCCATGCCATGCAGCAAGACTGTCAAGCATCTTCTCTCGTTGTCTTCCTCTATCC